ACAGCTTTATTCAAATCGGAATGTAGCTGCATGCAGTATCCATGTGGTGTTCACATGGCATCCACATGGTGTTCATGCAGTGTCCATGTGAAGTCCACATGGTGTCCATGTAGTGTTCATGCAATATTCATACAGTGTTGGTGTGTCCATGTGGGGTCCATGAAGTGTCCATGTGGGGTCCATGAAGTATTCACGTGGTGTCCATGTGGAATCCACATGGTGTCCATGTAGTATCCTTACAATGTCCATGTGGTGTTGGTGTGATGTGCATGTGATATTCATGTGCTGTCCATGCAGAGTCCAGATGATATCCATGCAGTATCCATGTAGTGTCAATGAGGTATCCACATGGTGTCCACGTGATGTTCATGTAATATCCATGTGATGTACATGCAGTATTCATGGAATGTCCACGTAGTGTCTATATGGTGTCCATGAATTGCCCACATGCTGTCTAGGCAGTGGCCATATGGTTGGTGTTCATGTAGTGTCCACGTAATGTCCATGTGGTGTCCCCGTGGTGTCCCTGTGATGTCGATGCTGTGTCCATGTGATGCCCATGTGATATTCACTTGGTGTCCATGTAATGTCCATGCGGGTCCCTGTGGTGTCCATACAGTGTCCACATGGTGTCCATGTGATCTCCATGCACTGTCCACATGGTGTACATGAAGTGTCCATGTGGAGTCCATGTGGTGTCCATGCAATGTCCACATGCTGTGCATGCAGTATCCATGTGGTGTTCACGTGGTGTTCATATGATATCCATGTGGTGTTCATATGATATCCATGTGGTGTCCATGTGATATCCATGCAGTGTCCACATACTGTCCATGTGATGTCCATGCACTGTCCATGTGCTGTTCATGCAGTGTCCACATGGTATCCATGTGATGTCCATGTGGTGTCCATGCAATGTCCACATGGCTGTCTAGGAAGTGTCCATGTGGTTGGTGTTCATGTGGTGTCCATGTAATGTCCATGTGGTATCCACATGATATCCAAGCAGTGTTCTTGTAGTGCCCATGTGATATTCATGTGGTGCCCATGTAATGTCCATGCGGGTCCCTGTGGTATCCATGCACTATACAAGTGTACATGGAATGTCCATGTGGAGTCCATGTGGTGTGCATGCAATGTCCACATGTTGTCCATGCAGTGTCCATGTGGTATTCACATGGTGTTCATGTGATGTCCATGTGGTGTCCATGTGATATCCATGCAGTGTTCAGGCAGTGTCCACATGATGTCCATATAGTGTTTGTGAAATGTCCACATGCTGTCCATGCAGTGTCCATGTGGAGTTCATGTGGTGCCCATGCAATGTCCACTTGCTGTTCATGCAGTGTCCATGTGGTGTTCACGTGGTTTCCATGTGATGTCCATGTGGTATCCATATGATATCCATACAGTGTCCATGCCAGTATCCCCATGGTATCCACATGGTGTCCATGTGATGCCCACGGGATGTCCCTGTGCTGTCCATGTGCTGTCCATTCCTCACCATGCATTCAGCACTCTGTTACGGGGAATTCTGAGGGAGTGCTGAGAGCATAATCTTCCTTTCAAACTTGCAGGAGTATAGGCTGCACATCTGCTGGAGTGTGGTGCGCTCGCTTCCCTTCAAGGTGAATGCACCTGCAGGGTCATGACGTGGCTCCCAGTGCTGCCATTAGAGAAGCTTATTTGCAACGTGGCTGTTTAGTGGTGGCAACTGGAGAACTGATTAGGTTCTCCACTGCATCCCAGGACACGGCGCAGTCTCAGGGCTCTGAACAGGGGCACTGAAGCCTGATTGCTCTTTTCCAGTTACAAGTGGACTGAGACGACCCTCCCTGTTATTTACAACAGTATGGTGAGGTGCATCCATTTCTACCACACACACAGACGTGAACCTCAGAGCAAGGTGGGTGAACACGGCATAGGGGGCCTAACAAGTCTGAAGATGCTGGCAGTGACTAAAACCATAGTGGGTTACTCTTTATATCCTTGGTGGTTGTTAGCCTACAGAAATGTAATACAGAAAGAATAGAAATTCTAGAATAAAGCACCAAGGAAGTGCCAGGACAGCATGGTGTTGGCTCTCCATGAAGACCTCCAAGGACCTGTTGGTCACCCAACCAGGTGTCTTAACAAGAGCTGTGGGAGGGCAGCGATGGAGGAAGACAGGTCTTGAGAGCCTCCCAGCCTGTGGGTCTGGGCTCTGAGGGACTCGGAGGGAGGGGTCTTCCAAGGCGGGAACTGGTGTGGGTTGGTAGTGTTTGTGACCTAAGATGCAGTGGAGTGGGAGCTGAACAGACATGAATTTTGAGGTCAGTCCTCAAGATCGAAGCTGTTCAATGTAGCTGTTTGAAATTGTTGGAAAGATGTGCCTGCGGCAACAGAAAAGTTATGTAGGTGTTTGCATGTTGTCTTTGTCAGAATATCCCGGGCACTATAGTCTGGATCTGGAACATCCCAGAGCTCCTGTGTTAAAGGCATGGTCCCCAGTGCAGCAAGATTCCAAGGTGGGGCTTTCAGGCAATGGTTGGATCAGGAGGGCTCGGACCCCATCAGTGGATTAATCCACTTTATGGGTTAATAGCTTGAATGGACTACTGGGTGGAAACTGTAGGCAGGTGGGCATGTCTGGAGGAAGTCCTGCCCTCCGACTTTATCTCCAGTCTCTTCCTCTTCTCCTCTCCCTCCGCTCTGTCTATCCATCTGCCACTTTCCAGATGCCGTGAGGGGCTCAGGGGCTTTTCTTGCCCATGTCCTTCCACCAGGATGTTTCTGTGACGGACTTGGCCAGCCATGCACTGAGACCTCTGAAACTGAGCCAAAATAGGTCTTTCTTCCTCCAAGTTGATCTTGTCAGGACTTTTGGCCATGGGGACAAAAGCTGAGTAACACACGACGTCAACATCAGGTATGTGGACACAGGAAGTCTCCCTTCCCAGGTCTCCAGCTTTTGCTGGACACTGCTGGCTTTTGTCTCCAACACTGCTGCAGTCCTGGGGCATAGCCACTGCCGGGGCCTTCCTCCACTGCACTGGACCCCTGGGATGTCACAGAAGATCTTGACCACTCATCAGGCAGAAAAGTCAAGCATGCTACATCCAGAGGACACCATGTATCAGGGGTACAGAAAGACAGTGGCCATAAGGCAGAGGGACATATGTATGCATTTCATGTATTTTTGGCTATAAGAAAACATTTGTCTAAACCAGTGCCGAGTCCTGCTCCCCATGTTGAAGTATGACACTAGAGAAGCGCGGAGGCGAGCATAAAGAGCAAGATTTATTTAGAAAGACTTCTCCCAGGACGGAGAAGGGGGCCATAGCTGGCACCTGGTGTCCCCAGAAGTGAGGGCTTCTGCCTTTTTATATCCCAGGCTTCCTGTATTCTCCTGCTCTCTTCCCCTCACCTCTCTCCTCCCTGTGCATGTGACTAGGCCCAGGAGATGCTCAGTGGGTGGCCAAAGGGTGAGAAGCAGATGGAAGGGGAAGGGCCAGATGGAGCAGCCCTGGGCACTTTAACTAACAACTTTATAACTCCCTGTAGGGAGGGACTTTCCTGGGACAGGTTACCTTAGCCACAGGTTGGAGCAGGGCGGGTTATCTTGACAGGGTGGAGGAAGGGCTCTGAAGGCATTTCAGTCCCTCAGGGGACAGTCTCCAACTTCCCGGACTCATTCAAATTGGCCTCCTTGATCGACCTGACTCAGTTTACCTGTCTATACCGACAGCCTGTCTAATTCTGGCTTTACCAGTATCATTATCTCTCATGTTCCTCTAGAAATTTGGTAATTTTATCTCACATTTTAGGTCTTTGATCCATACCAAGATAATTTTAATTCATGATGTGAAATGCTGAGTTTCTTTTTTTCTGTGTGTGTATACAATCTGGCATTTTTTTGTGAAAGGACTATCATTTCCCTGTGGAAATACCTTCAGAGAAAGGAGATAAGAAATGCCAAAGTTTTAAAAAGATAAATGGATCTTTAACTTTAACAAATGCTTTTGAAATCGATTTTCAAGAAAATGAAAAAGCAAGTGACAGAGTCAGAACAAGTGTTTGTAAAACGCATGTCTGACCGAGAAATCAACCCAGAATGATACAGAGGTGGACCACTCACTAAATCAACCCAGAGTGATACAGAGGTGGACTACTCACCAAATCGCACCCAGAGTGATACAGAGGTGGACCACTCACCAAATTGCACCCAGAGTGATACAGAGGTGGACCACTCACCAAATCGCACCCAGAGAGATACAGAGGTGGACCACTCACCAAATCGCACCCAGAGTGATACAGAGGTGGGCCACTCACTAAATCAACCCAGAGTGATACAGAGGTGGACCACTCACCAAATCAACCCAGAGTGATACAGAGGTGGACCACTCACCAAATCGCACCCAGAGTGGTACAGAGGTGGACCACTCACCAAATCGCACCCAGAGTGATACAGAGGTGGACCACTCACTAAATCGCACCCAGAGAGATACAGAGGTGGACCACTCACCAAATCAACCCAGAGTGATACAGAGGTGGACCACTCACCAAATCGCACCCAGAGTGATACAGAGGTGGACCACTCACCAAATCGCACCCAGAGTGATACAGAGGTGGACCACTCACCAAATCGCACCCAGAGTGATACAGAGGTGGACCACTCACCAAATCGCACCCAGAGTGATACAGAGGTGGACCACTCACCAAATCGCACCCAGAGTGATACAGAGGTGGACCACTCACCAAATCAACCCAGAGTGATACAGAGGTGGACCACTCACCAAATCGCACCCAGAGTGATACAGAGGTGGACCACTCACTAACGCCATGGGCAAGAGAGCACCGAAGATGGCTTCTCACAAGGGAACCAGATCAGAACCAGTGTGGTCTAGCACTGCACACTCGGGAAGGGCACTCCTCCAAAGAACAATGTCACAGACTGTTGCACAAGGGGGCAAAATTGTGACGTATGCAGTCGAGGGGAGAAATAAACAATGTCCACATGCTTCTGCGCCTTTCAATGCTTTATTCACTCAAATTGCTCAGTACAATTTCATTCTATAGGTTCTTAATCAAGAAAACGACAATTCCTAATACTAGGCAATAATCAGTTCACAGCAAGCAATTCTAGATTAATTCTAAGCACTGCAAAACACACTTAATCATGACAGGCTAATGACAGACATTCCCTCTGTGTGCTAAGTTCAAAAGTCTGAAGCCTTAGGCTTTAAGTCCAGCAGATGCACACTCACTCTGGTGACCAGGTCTGGAACCAAGGGGCTTTTCCTGGCATCGAGTGAATGACTGTTTGAGGAGGGGGTTGTAGGGAGGAGTTGCAGCTCTCACCAAGGTCCAGATGAGGTGGTAGAGTTTGAGAGCAGTGAGGATCACGCAGAGGCTCAGGAACAATGACAAGTGACGGGATGTCAGATCCTCATTAGGCTCTCCAGCTCAAGTGCATCCTTGTTTTGGCTGGCTCAATCCCTGTTCATTTGCTCTATCATTTATACTAAATTTTGGAGCTTTTGCCTCCCTTTCAATCCTTATCAGCTACTGTGGGATTTCTCAGTGACATCATTTACCCTGGGGTCAGAAACTTTGGGTCTGGTGGTCTCCACCCTGATCTTCTTGCCTTTCCCTCTGATCAGGTGAGGACAGCCTGCCAGGGACTTTACTCTGTTTATCAGGGTGTGGGGAAGTAACTTGTCTGAGGCCACACTAGAGGGCTCTGTGGGAGTGCCTAGTGAGACTGCAGGTTTCAACTGGAATTTTTAAAATGGAGTTGCTTAGGCTCAGGCCCAAGGCCATCCTCACACAGGCACACAGACCTGGATCTCTTACCCACAACAGAACCACTCTGCCAAGGGTTTGGCAGTTTGAGCCAATGCTTATCACAACATTGAGCAATGTCACTCCTGAGTACTTGCGAAGGAAACACAGACCGTGCACATGAACATTTTGTTTTGGTGTTCGGGGGTCTACAGTCACCGCAGCAAAAAAGTGGCGAGCCAAGTGCCTCTGGCCACACCACGAGAAGTGCTGACCAGGCTGTGGTCTGTCCATCCAACAGGACGTCTTCATCAGCAAGCAGGAATGGCCCACCCGTGGTGCACGGACGCACTGAATCTCAAAGCCATCGCGGTCCACGAGAGGGACAACACAAGGGACTGAGCAGTTTGGAAATGATGTGCTGCAGCTAGGGAAAGCCCATCAGTGACCACAGGCAGAGGTGCGGGAGGGAACGTGCTGGCACTTGTGGGTGGTCTGTATCTTGGCTGTAGCAGTGGTCTCACATCTGCCAAAGAGTCATGGAGAACATCTAAGGGGGTATTGTCAAGTGTCAGCAACCCGTCGGCACAGCTGGGGAGAAGCTAAGGGAGGGAGCAGCGGCTCTCGGGCTTGCAGGCCAATTGCTGCCATCCTGGAAGTTGAGTATCATGGAAAGTGGAGGAAACAACACCTTGTTTCCAAAAGACTGGGGTAGGTGAAATGACATGGCGAAACGCTGCTCATGATGAATTCAAGAGGTAGGCACACAGGGTACAGGTTATTACTCTCCCCCGTGTTACCCTTTGTTTTCAAACTCGCCATAATAAAGTTTTTAAAATATCAAATTTCCCAGCCAATGTGTTCCCTACCGTCACCCAGGTCCTGGGACTGTCCTCCTAAAGGCTTCTCCTGGGTGAAGCCTTGGAGTGGCCTTACCATGCGACATCACCTGTGCCGTGGGCTGTTTGCTGATTGATTCCCCCACGCCCCAAGATGGTGAACTTGCATTAGCTCACTTGGGTTTCTGCACTCAGTCAAGGTGAATCAAGCAGTGCTCACACTGCTCTTGGTTGCTGCAGTCTGGCTGCAGCAAAGTAATTGGGGGGTGACGAGCAACTTGTGTGCATTGATACAGCAGGAGTGGGAGCCGTTTATTGTAGGACAACCGAGGTATTTATACATTCCACACAGCTTATCTTAATTAACATAAAATAGATACAGCAGTCAACCAATAAGGAATCTCCACACTTAATGGCTCGCTGGAGCCACCTCACAAACCACTCCCCCTGGCAAAATACCAGGTGCCATCCTGACTTGTTTACAGACTCTAACACTTGGTACTGTCTAGAGTAAAGCCACGGGACCGGGTCCCTGTCTGGGGCACCTTCCACATCTCAGAACTTCATGGCCATTTCTGTTGCCTTCGTTCCCAGCCAGTCACCTCCCCTGCCTCCAGGGTGCTGGGGCTCAGTGCTGCTGGGAGACGCCTCCTGGCACTGCACACACCACGGTGGTTCTGTCCGATTCCACAGGCCTGGGGCAACGTGGAAGTAGCTCCAGGCACCCAGGGCTTTAGGCAGAGATTGTTTCTAGCTGTCCATGACGTCAGTAAATAACAGGAACATGTAAGAATAGAAATACAGGTAAGTAAGTCTTAATATAAATATTAAATAATTGTTCTGTAATCTAAATCATGAATGATTTTTTTCTAAAAGAAAATGGAAATAAAAATGATAATGAATTAGGCCTAAAATTAAGTAGAGTCTTCAGGTCCAGTTTTGAACCATGGGGAGAAATGTGAAGTCCCACAGGGTAAAGGCTCTGCATTGTAACACTCCACAAAAGAGACTTTTCTCCGTGAAGCCATGAATTATCTCAAAAAGTAATAAAAAGGAGAATGTATGCGTTGAGGGAAGGGAATCTAAAGAGACACAAGTCAACAACCACTCAAGTTTCAGGCTCAGCTGGTTTACCTGGGTTCCATCAAGGAACGAGTGTTACCAAACTTAATAATAATGGTTCTCATGTACATAATGATGAAATTCTAATCCATGGTTTATAAAGCTACTGTAAACTATTGAATTATAACCCCAGCTATTATAATATGATATTAGGAATATTAGATTATAAATGCATCCAATAATTTCTAAAACTATTGAAGTCTTGATATTTAAGATCTGATGAGATCAATGTTAATAATAAATAGAGCTCTAATGATTATAAATTAAATGTTAATGAATTTTTGTAAAATGTTTAAATAATAACCCTTACCATCTTAGTTTTAGGGTTTTAGGTTTAATAGCCTGATATTTCAGACCCTTTGATGGAAAAGAATGTTCATGTCAGTAGATAATGAAAAAAAAAAAGATTTCATCAAATTCTTTATTGTTCATAATGTAAGTGTGCTATATAGATGAGGTTATTCTTTGCATAGTCAAAGATGCTCATTTTAAACCAACTGCTAATGTTCTGTTCATAATAAAACACCCCGTTTTACTTTAGAAAACATTGACAACATACTTTAGGAAATGCAGAGAAGATTGCTGTTAATAATCGAAGAACTGGATTCACTGGTGCTCTATTCCATTTGTTTAAACATTATTGAAGTCATATATAATTCTGCACTTTTCCATCATTTGAAATTCATCCACAGTGTTCTCCATGAGATTAAAAGCTCCTTAGGAACATGAGTTTGATGACTGTAGACTGTTCTGGTGTTCCTCTGAATGGACATCAGTGCCAACACCTCTAACTTAATGACCTCAGGAGGTCCACCGCAGGTGGGAGGTCACATGGCCAGATCACGGACAGCCCAGCAGCTGTACCACCATGCCCCCATGCCTAGCAGGAGGGCTCTTTGGCAGCCTGCTTGTTTACTGGGACAGCTCAGGGGCAAGTCAGCTGGATGTGGCATTCCCGAAGCTGTTTCCCCACATCTTTTCAGAGAAAGAATCATGATTTCTTCCTGGGCAATCAAAGTACTTACTGCATCCACCCAGAAACCAAGGGCACGGTCTGACCAGATTAGGATGAGCAGGTACAAATATCAATCTAAAAATAAAATACAACGCTGAGCACTTATCATACCTGATGCGATAGATCATCAGTCCACAGCTCTAAGGCACATGACGGTAAACTACAAAGGAGGACTCCAGGTTCCCTTCAGGAAAGGCGCACAGGCTGCCTTCTCCAGCAGTGGACAGTGGGTACATGCTCCAGGAAGGCAGCAGGGGGCAGCGCAGGCCCACGGAGGGGGTCCAGGTTGCCACAGATGCCTGCCAGCAAGAGGCACCCCACAGCCACCATGCTCTGCCCGCCAGTGAGCGGGAGGTGCCAGTGAGCTGTTAATTCACCAGGGAAGGTTTCTCCGTCTGTGTCCAGAGGTGTTGAGATGCACCGCGTGAAGCAGGTGAAGAGATAGATAGACCAGACAGACAGACAGACAGAAAGAGAGGCAATCCAGGATAAATTAGGGGGAATATCTTAAAACTGCTTTTAGGGAGAGTAACTTAAACCAACATTTTTAAATTCATATAGGAACTTTTGAGTTGTATGGTAGAGTTAATTACATAAATTTATACTTTCCTATCTCCCAATGAAATGCTTTAACATGCAGAAAGGGATGGGAGATTGGGAAGCCACTGGAAATCTGCAGTTTCTAGGAATGGTATTCCAGGCCTGGTGGACAAGCGCATTAATACACCAGGTGCACCCAGGAGCAGGACTCCAGGCTACAAGACATCCACTGTGAATGTCACACTCTGCATGCTGACCTGCCGGGGAAGACCTGGCTTTTCCCCAGCAGGAAGGAGGATCCCAGCCACTCAGAGAGCACAGGCCACCTTCAAGGGACTCAGTGTCCGCTGATAGGGCACCCATCAAGGTCTGCAGGTATGCTGGGTGTGGTGGCATATGCCTCTAATCTCAATGGCTCAGGAGGCTGAGGCAGGAGGATTGCAGGTTCTAAGCCAGCCTCAGCAACTTACCAAGACTCTAAGCAACTTAGGGAGATCCTGTCTGAAAAATTTTAAAAAGGGCTGGGGACATGGATCAGTTGTAAAAGAGCTTCTGGAATCAATTTCTAGTGTCAAACAAATACACAAACAAAAACTCCAGTAATAGACAGAGTAGACACCAGTCATACTTGCATTTTAGGATGTCTGCAGAAAAGAAAGAGGTGGCCATAAGAGGAACAGTGGCTAAGATCCATGAATATCCACACTTCTCTGCCCTGCACCTGGGAAGAGAGGTGGCAGGAGACCTGGGCTCCTGTGACCACCTGTAGCCTGCACCTGGGAGGGAGCCCCACACCAGGAGGGAAGTGCAGGAGACCTGGTGAAGCCAGATTTAAAATTAAGTAGTCAGTGTAGTTAGGTAAATCCGGTCTAATATCAAGTAAGATCTAAAATGGAGGCCATGTTGAGAATGAATTCCTGAAACCCAGGACAACTCTTGGAATGTTAATGAAGTCCTGAGAAAAGCCCTAGGCCCAAAGTCCATCCCAAAGAAATGTTAATGAACAGCCCAGCAGATTTGAAGACAGCCCATCCCAAGAAGTGATAATGAAGTCCTTCCTGCCCAGATTGCTTCTTTGGCCCACCTGTATCCCACCCCTGGGGCCTTCCCACCTACATTCCATCACTGAAAGAACTATAAAAAGGGGAGACAACCGCACTTCCACGGATTCCACCTCTTGGGTCCCCTTCCTCCTCCAGGAGAAGTCTCTTCTGCTGTCCTTTAATAAACTTCTAATTTCTACTCTGACCTTGCCTCGGCGTGCTTCTCTGGTGTTATTCTTCAACATTGGGGGAGCAAGGACTCGTCACCGGTCAACAGTGGTAACACCCTGCTTATGCACCATCAGGAGGCCAACCTGTCCTTGAGGTCAGAGCCTCCTGACCAATCACTTCCTAAAGCCCCACATCTCAACACTGCTGCCTTGGGACTGACCACCAACACATGAGCCTTTGGGGCATTCCAGGAACATGGAACCTACTTGCATTATCGATTTCTAATAACTAAATTAAAAAGAACTGCCAAATACTCCTATTTCTAAATCACCCTGATCCTGAAAATTGCCAGGAGTTCCTCAAAGAAATTTCAGAGGTTGGTTTTTATTTAGTTAAACGGAACTTTGTTCTGCACAGAAGGCATTTGCCCATGTGTTGGTAATTGATGCTTTATTTTCTCTATTACAGCTCTCCACATGCATCGTAACTTCCTGCGTGCACTGACTCCTGGGGAAGGAGCTGTGACTGTTTCCAACCACTAGGCCAGGGAGCCCAGATCCCTTGCCACTGGCCACTGCTGCACTGAGTGTCCTCTCAGGTGAAGGTCAAGATGATGAGGGAGCCCATTTCCATTGCCATCACCCAGTCCTGGTGTGGGGCTCACTCCCAGGGGCAGGGTACAGGTGGTCACAGGAGCCCAGTGTTACCACTGTGACAAGTCCTTGCTTCCCCAATGTTGAAGAATAACACCAGAGAAGCACGCCGAGGCAAGGTCAGAGTAGAAATTAGAAGTTTATTAAAGGACAGCAGAAAAGACTTCTCCACCCAAGAGGTGGAATCCGTGGAAGTGTGGTTGTTTCCCCTTTTCATAGTTCTTTCGGTGATGGAATGTAGGTGGGAAGGCCCCAGGGGTGGGATACAGGTGGGCCAAAGAAGTAATCTGGGCAGGAAGGACTTCATTAACACTTCTTGGGATGGGCTGTCTTCAAATCTGCTGGGGCTGTTCATTAACATTCCTTTGGGATGGACTTTGGGCCTAGGGCTTTTCTCGGGACTTCATTAACATTCCAAGAGTTGTCCTGGGTTTCCGGAATTCATTCTCAGCATGGCCTCCATTTTAGATTCCCCTCGATATTAGACCCGATTTACCTAACTACACTGACTGCCTCACTTTGAATCTGGCTTCAAGGGCACCACTGGGAGGTCTTGGACCCCCTGGGAGTGGTCCCTAGATGAAGGGAGTGTGACCATGGGGCATGCCTCAGGGAGCATCTCTTGTTTCCACCATCTGAGTGCTTGTCTCTCCCGCTCCCTCCTTCCCAGCTGCCGGGGTGAGCTGCTCTGCTCCACCTTGCAGTCCCTGTTCCCTGCGTGGTGTCCTCTCACGCAGGTCCTATAGCCCCTGCCTATGCACTGAGACCCCTGACACCCTGAGCGGAAGTCAGTTTTTCCTCCTGTATGTTGATTTTCTCCGGCATTTAGTCACTGTGTTGGAAAGCTAGCTAGCACACCATGTGCTTTCTTATCACTTCTTAATACACCTGCATCATGATGAAGCCAGATTTAAAGTGAGGCAGTCAGTGTAGTTAGGTAAATCGGGTCTAATATCGAGTGACATCTAAAATGGAGGCCATGCTGACGATGATTCCAGGAAACTCAGGACAACTCATGGAATGTTAATGAAGTCCCAGAAAGGCCCTAAGCAAAGTCCACCCCAAAGAAATGTTAATGGAGCCCAGGAAACAGCCCCCAACAGATTTGGAGATAGCCCATCCCAAGAGGTGATAATGAAGTCCTTCCTGCCCAGATTACTTGTTTGGCCCACCTGTGTCCCACCCCTCGGGCCTTCCCACCTGTATTCCATCACCAAAACTAAAAAGGGGAGACAACCGCACTTCCACGGATTCCACCTCTTGGGTCCCCTTCTTCCTCCGGGAGAAGTCTTTTCTGCTGTCCTTTAATAAACTTCTAATTTCTACTCTGACCTTGCCTCGGCGTGCTTCTCTGGTGTTATTCTTCAACATTGGGGGAGCAAGGACTCCTCACCGGTCAACAGCGGTAACAATGAGAGCTTTCTTGAAAAACTAGAGTGGATTGAAAGTTTTGAAAATGCTAAAATTTGTAACCATAACTTTAAAAATGAATGCAGATGAATTTGTAATAGCTATGAAAGAAATTTGAAATGGTTTTAATTAAAGTATTAACATTCCATTAGTTTAGATACAATAAAGAACTTTTTAAATTAAGTAAGGAGTAGAGGGTTCAGATCTCAACCTCCCCGGAATGGTAAAGAACAGTGTTTTTGCTAGACTAGCCCATCCATAGTTTGGAATTTTGTTGGAAATTATTGTAGAATTGTAAGGGTAAAAGAAATTGAAGTTAAAGTGTAAAAGTTAAAGGGTAAAAGACCGGGTGTTGTAAAGTTTCTAAGCTGCAAGGTCTGAGTTAAAATGTAAAGGATTAGGCATTGTTAGGTTTCTATGCTACCTGCAAAACCTGAAATTTCTGTAGCTGTTAAGACAATGCTTGGAACTGCCCAGTAAATATTTCCCCTGACTATTTGGTTGTTTAATAAGGGCTCTGTGTGGTCGCACGTAGGCATTGCAGGGCCTGGACCAATCAGTTTAAATGTAACCCCCTCCTTAGGAATGACCTATCACTCCAGCCTGACCTGTTCCCGCCAATGAATGAACCAATCATGTTTAGGAGTTGTTGTTCAATTTTCCCGCGCCTCATGATGATTTGTTCTGATGTATACAAGGCCCTCCGCCCTCCCCAAAAAGTGTACTTAAGCAGTGCTCAGCCCCTGCTCGGGGCTCTGGGCTGCTTTCCCTTCTTGAGTGGGCACGGAGCCCCAGCATGCTGGTTCAATAAATCCCCCTTCTGCCAATTGCATGAGTGGTCACTTGGTGGTCTCTTTCTCCGACGTTTCTCGGGACCCTTACATTTGGTGCGTTGGCCGGGAAAAGCGCATGGCCGGACAAGGAGACCTCCAATGGACTCCTTTAGGGGGTAAGTAAGGTGCCTCTTCCTCTTCTTCTTCCTCCTTCTCTTCTCCTCCTTGTTCTCCTTCTTGTTTTTCCTTTGCGATCGCTTAGAGCTTTTTGGTTTTTGGCTCGGTGGAGAGCGTAAGTTCTCAGAGCTTTTTGGTTCAGGTTTGGTCTTCGGCTTGGATTGGTTGGGTTGGGTTGGCAGCGTGGCCGTCAGTGGAGAGTGTAAATTCTCCCTGGCAGTGGTGACAGACGTGTCCTAATCCACAGGCCACTCCTCTTAGGGATGCCTTACAGGATTGGGGGGGGGGCAAAAGTGCCCCCAGTTGGTAGAGGGACAAGAGTGCCCTCATTTGTACTCTGCTGCCAACCCGTTTGGTTTCGCCGGCAATTCTTTCTCTCAGATTGGATTCACAGTCTGTCTTTAATCTTTGCCTCTGAACTTGTGTTAACCGTTTACTGTTTGTCCTTGTCTCTGTGTCACGTTTGTATTGTCCCTGTCTCTGCCTGAGTAACTCCCAGTATGGGACAAAGCCATTCCACGCCTCTTTCCCTGAAGCCTTTCTTGGTCCCTGCCTCCACTCCGACCCCTTCCCCCAAGATCCTATCACTCAATCCTTCTGCTCCTCCCCCTTTTCCCTCCATTCTCCTTGAGTCACAAGATTGTAGATCTTGGGGTTGTGAACGAAGGGGAGCTGCATGATGATCTTTGTGTGTCATTTTGTCTGTGTCTCTGTTAAGTGTGATGGCATTGTTTTACTTTGGACCGATGCAGAGTCCCAAATTCCAAACGGCCTTAGATGTGTGGAAGTAACTTTAGCTAAATTTTAACCTAATGCTTCTCCTGTGAGGGACCAAAAGTCAATAGAACCGCCAGCTTTTCTGTTCTCACCTTTTACACCTCTCTTAGCTGTGTTTTAAAGAACTTTGATAAACTTTACCCCCCTTTGTTAAGCGAGATTAGGGAAGCAGTGTTTTCTTTTCTTCCCGTAGTTGGCTTGAGCACGCCCACTGCAGAGGGAAATGCCTGGGGTCTAAAAACTTTGATATCTCGCTTAAACTTTTCTCAAACTCGAAACAACTGCAAGCAGAAGATGAACTTTTTGGGAAGCTGACTACTGAAAAGTTAGGAGATGTGAGAAATGCCTAGTGCCTGGGGTCAGACCAAGCCAGAGGAACTAATCCTATAAGTAAAAGGTGGAACTACGGGGCTCCCAGCAGCTGCCAAGGCCATTTTGCTTTGGGGAGTCTCCTCCTTCCTTACCTGCACTTTAGGGATTACCCCACCTCTGTTTGCTTAACTAATGAAAAAAAATTAGAAAGTTTCAATTTTGAACTGGGTAGCCTGAGAAAATTCCACTAGGTATTCCAGTGCATTAACTTGGGCGAAGATAATAAATTATGATATGATATCTGTTCCCCTCAGTGTGTAAGATTCAAGGGGAAAAAAAAGGTGCTAAATTAAAACGTTGGTCTGGCTTATTGAGATGACATTAATTAGCGACAGTCTTGAAAATTTTTAAGGCTTAATTTTGGATATACATGATAAAACTTAATACTACTTTAGGAACTTCAGAACAAAGGAAGCAGCTTAATGATCCTGAGGAAATTTCCTCTGATGGTGGCCTTTATATTATCAGAAAAAGATCCTATTTTCAGTTTTGTGTGGGCAAGTGTTTCTAATGTAAAGAGATATAAAGATATAAAATTTTAAAAATTACATCTTAAACCTGAAAATTATGACTTATAGCTAAAATGCCCTAGGCATGAGGTTTCTGCTCAGAATTCCAGTTTTCCCAGTTCCTTCCAGACCTCAGCCAGGACTTAAGCTGATATGCAAATAGAAGAAGCCTGGGGCTCAACAGAGGGCAGATTTCAGGCCCAAGGGGAAAAAAAAAAGGTTAAAGTGTCTTTTTCACCTGAACTCAAAATAGACCCCAACCAAAAAGTAAATTATATGGTATTTATTAATTACTGGCCAGTCATCTTATTTAGGACTCTTGCTTTTTCTTAGATTCTGCATTTTTTTTTGGAGCTCATGATTTTAATCCCACAGACTGGTTAATGTTTTCTGATCAGTTCTATTTCTGATCAACTGTGGAGTTTTTAAACATTGCAGTGGAGATTTCACCTGAAAAAGCTACAAGGGTGTTACACTTGTGTTATGTGTTGTATGTCGGTATGTCTGTATGTGTGTATGTCCATATATCCTGCAGTGATATGACAATTGACAGATGAGGAGCGCTCATAAAAAAAAAAAAATTAAAAATGGATCCAAATATCTTTGATTCACGTGATTCAAATGGTTCAATTTAAATTGGGTAAACAGATAAAAGTACAGATGTCTTTAAAATTAAGCTTATAAGTTTTTCTAGGTGTTCAAAAAGACCCTAATAAAATAATGATGTCTATAAAATAATCTGCTTAAATTCAGAAATTTACAGATATTGTTTTAAAGTGTAAACAGAAGGAGGTTAACAGATGGAAAAAAAAACTAGAAAGTTTTAGATATGGATTTAATAGAGGGAAAATGTGTTTCTGGATAAGAGTCTATGTGATTAAGTAATTAAGAAGGTTTAAGTAAGTGATAAAAAAGGTTTGTGTAAGTTGGTTATGTGTGTAAGTTTTTGAGCAAGTAATCTTAAAGAAAATTAAAGATTATACAACTATGGTTAAACAACAGCTGTTATTTTTCAATATTGTAATGTTGTTACTTTAAAAGCTAACCTCGGTTAATATAAAAACATCAATGTAATTATGGTGCTATTAATGTGTTCATATCTTCCAGATATACAAGTCTGTAAGGTAAAAGCTTCAAAAGAACATTATATCAAGCTGGTGTTCTAAAGTTGTATGGTAATTTTAGGCTTAAAAAACATGTTGGAGATTTATTCATATCATTTGTGTTCTACAACTGGACGTGTTATCAATAAGATATGTATGGTTCCATGTTACTTTCTACTCTGAGATACAATTTATGTATTTTTAAGTTAATGAGAGCCTAATCTGTGTGAAGGTTATTTTGCAAAACACAAAAGTACATTACTACTTTTCTACAAGAGGTTAAAAGCTTTCAGTCTTTAATTCATGTTTTAGGTGTGATATTATATTGTGTTAGCTAATATTCATGTAAACTTGAGCAACAATTTATGTAAACTTTGTAAAATGATGTTTAAAAAGCAAAGATCAGTTTCAGAACTACAGTACTTAAGATTTATGAAGAGCCCTGCCTTACTTGAGATAAGGCTCTGTCCCATCTCACTACATGTAAAAGTGACTATGGAAGAAGTAGGCCAGATTTCAGTACAGTTAAAGTTGTGTCCAAAAGTAGTTTTTTGCCAAGATTACTAGGATCTCAAACAGGGAATTATGATGTATAACCCTGCCAGAATTCAAGGTAGCTATTATATAAGCTAAATATGTTTTTACCCTAGTTAGTTTTGTTTTGTAGTTTGCTTATAGATGGTTTAAGGATTGCCTGTTAATGTTTTAAAGAGGTACTGATTTAAGAACACACAACCTGGGTTAATTTAAGATAAGGAGTTATCACCTACAGGATAGAGAGATAGACATTAAAGCCTAGTGCTCTTAATAGAAGGCTGTTAACTTATTTGCTGGATGTTTAAGATTAAGTTTTAAAATTAAAAATTTGGCTCTTGCCCTCTGAGTCAGTCTGAATCAGGGAATAGGGGACTTCTCCAAAGGGCTCTGAAACTCTAGGCCACATAACCTCCTGAGCAGGGAGATTAATGAGACCAGTGGAGGGCAGAAAGCCGATCGGTGCATTTGCTGTAAAGAGGAGGGTCATCAGAAAGGGGAGACATCCCTGATGCTTCCGAGGGAAGCCACATGGTCAAGCAAGGCCTGGACCCATCCTAAGGTAAATGACACTAGCAGAACTGAGAAGCTGCAATGAAGTTCCCCGAGGACTCCCAGGGAAACTCAGCTGACTGTTGACAATAGATAAGAACAAAAGTCAGTTTGACTTGCTTCATCTTAAACACTTAGCAAAGATAGTTAAAGCCAAAGCACAGCTGGTCCTAGACATTTTAAATGATAATAATAGTTAAATGTAACTTCCAAATATAAGTAAACTAGAGGCTATAAAAGAGATTCTCAGACAGGAATGCCTGATAACTATTAAAAGGAACTGCCAGGGTAGTTTTTAGTTTAAGGCCCACAGATATTCCTAACCTACACAGGTAGGCTTGGTGTTTGCTAGTATGGTTATCCAGCCCTAAGTAGCAAAATTAAAGGTTTCTCTATTAGACATAGGTCATACTAGTAAAAAGGACATCTGTAAACCTAAATGTTAGTTGTTATGTTTACATCCCTGACATTTCTGGCAAGGTGACAAATATCCTTAAAGATTTACATGCTTAGATAGAAGCCATGTCCTCAGCAACTTTGTCGTGGAGACAATATCTTAGCTTCTGGTTCTTGGTACTTCCTGGTGGAAAACATTGTTAGTCTCTGTCTTGGCCATTATACTCATTGGCATATTCCTGTGCTGTGACATTTATTGCTGCATCAATATGGTTCCAGTAAATTAATGAATTCTTGTTTCTCTTATAGACCACCTATCCCTCGAATGGCCCTCCAGCCTAATACTTCTCAATTGGACTTTTATCATGGACCACTCGATAGCCCCGATTATTAAAGGGGGACTCCAAACTTCTTGCCCCACACCGTCCCTTTTCAGCCTGAAGAAGCCAGAAAGATTCTCTTCGCCCCCTCTTCCTTACAGCAGTGAGGAATTCCCAAATTAGAGGGGGGAATAAAGCCAGATTTTAAGTTAGGTAGTCAGTGTAGTTAGATAAATCAGGGTCTAATACCGAGTGAAATCTAAAATGGAGGCCATGCTGAAAATGATTCCAGGGAACGCAAAACAACTCATGAAATGTGAAACCCTTCAATAATTGTGATGCATTACTTTTAAGATTAAAAGTAGTCAGAAAAAGGAGTGGGGAATGTAAGGGTAAAAGAAATTGAAGTTAAAGCGTAAAAGTTAAAGGGTAAAAGACCGGGTGTTGTAAAGTTTCTAAGCTGCAAGGTCTGAGTTAAAATGTAAAGGATTAGGTATTGTTAGGTATCTATGCTACCTGCAAAACCTGAAATTTCTGTAGCTGTTAAGACAATGCTTAGAACTGCCCAGTAAATATTTCCCCTGACTATTGGTTGTTTAATAAGGGCTCTGTGTGGTCGCACGTAGGCATTGCAGAGGCTGGACCAATCAGTTTAAATGTAACCCCCTCCTTAGGAATGACCTATCACTCCAGCCTGACCTGTTCCCGCCAATGAATGAACTAATCATGTTTAGGAGTTGTTATTCAATTTTCCCGCGCCTCATGATGATTTGTTCTGATGTATACAAGGCCCTCCGCCCTCCCCAAAAAGTGTACTTAAGCAGTGCTCAGCCCCTGCTCGGGGCTCTGGGCTGCTTTCCCTTCTTGAGTGGGCACGGAGCCCCAGCATGCTGGTTCAATAAATCCCCCCTTCTGCCAATTGCATGAGTGGTCACTTGGTGGTCTCTTTCTCCGACGTTTCGCGGAACCCTTACATTATGAACAATTCATAATTGTGTCTAAGAAGTTTAAAAGTCAGTAATTGTGACTGTGTGAGTTGGCACACACAGAGACACATGTGCAAATGCCTTCTGTGCAGAACAAAGTTCCCTTTAACTAAATAAAAATCAGCATCTAAAATTCCAGGTGTTACTGTGACAAAGTAGAAGTCACTATTTGGAAGAAAGAATTGGATGGCAGTGAAGCCAGATTTAAAGTTAGGTAGTCAGTGTAGTTAGATAAATCCGGGTCTAATGCTGAGTGAAATCTAAAATGGAGGCCATGCTGGCAATGATTCCGGGAAACGCAGGACAACTCATGGAATGTTAATGAAGTCCCGAAAAGGCCCTAGGCCAAAGTCCACCTCAAAGAAATGTTAATGAACAGCCCCCAGCAAAAAGGTGCTGACTCAGAAGTCCTTCCAGACCAGATTGCTTCTTTGGCCCACCTGTGTCCCACCCCTGGGGCCTTCCCACCTACATTCCATCACTGAAGAACTATAAAAAGGGGAGACAACATCCCTTCCACGGATTCCACCTCTTGGGTCCCCTTCTTCCTCCGGGAGAAGTCTTTTCTGCTGTCCTTTAATAAACGTCTAATTTCTACTCTGACCTTGCCTCGGCGTGCTTCTCTGGTGTTATTCTTCAACATTGGGGGAGCAAGGACTCGTCACCGGTCAACAGCGGTAACAGCAGCTGTGTTCCCTTTGCCAGTCCCCAAACACCCTTAGGTGTGCCTGGGGTGGACAGAATGTGCTTTATAAACCACCCCTTTCCTACCCAGGCCTTGAACGTTTTGTAGGGGGGTCTAATGTAGTTGTTATCTTCTCCAAGTTGCTGGACATTAGTCAAACATTCCACACACTAACAAATACAACACACTAGAAAGTTTCTCTATAGCAACTGGGTCAAAGGGCAGATGTCCTGTGGTGACAATGGGGAACAAACTAAAGGGGCACTCCAACACACAAGGAATCTTCTGCTAGAGTTCCAATTTTTAACTGGAAAGACCAAATTTGTATGTGTCTGTTTCATACTAAATGAAATAAAATCAAGGTCTATTCTTTTGCAGTACGTAAATTTAATAAAAATATTTTAAAACAATATCTAGAGAAAAGATATTTGATCCACTTTGCTTTATAAAATCAGGGGCAAAAAAGGTACTTAGGAGGCAAAATACTTGTCCACAAAATATTCAACATTTTAATATGAAAATACATAGAATTGAAGTTGGGTGTGGCACACGCCTATAACCCCTGCAAATTTGGAGGCTGAGGCAGGGGGATAGCATGTTCAAGGCCATCCTCAGAAACCTAGTGAGACCTTGTCCCAAAAACATAATAAATAAATAAAATACAATAAAAGTGTTAGAGATAGAGCTAAGTGATAAAGCACCCTACACTCAATCACCAGTATGATATACCTACATGTATATGTGTATGTATATACATATATATATAAAGAACCTTGAAAAATATTTTATTAAAGAACTAGTATTAATTTAGATATTGTCCAGAACTTTTAAAATTTAATGAATATGTAAAAGTGTTTTTATTCAGATAACACTCTCAGGAAGTATTTTGATTTTGCTCTGATGTACATAGATAGATATTCCTTTTAAAATAAACACTTTGAATAGTGTAATCTTAATTGATTGCATCAGTCACATCTCAGTTGGAACAATAAATCATGCAGCGGTGGTGGTTGCAGCACCCCCAGCCTGGGACAGGCAGACTCGGATTTTCAGGCTCCACTTCCACAGGAAACTTCTAGGCTGAAGCCAACTGGACCGGGTCCCGATTTGGAGGTCCCTGCCCTCTGTCTGTAAGACTCTCAGGAATCCAGAGGCTTTGAGGAGTAGAACTCGTGGTACAGAAGGACTGCGGGGTCTCCTCCTGGGAGGGCGGATGTGCATGTCCCTCTTCCTTCCCCTCAGTGCAAGCTGCGGCCTCGACCTGTGTGGAAAGCAGGCTGAGAAGATGTGGGTGAGCAGGCGGCGCGGGACTCCGGGAGCCAGAGGGGAACCCAGGCCAGGCCCTGGGTGTTTCCTGCTTACAGCAGAAGCAACCTGGAAGTGCCGCCGGGCATGGAGCACACGGACAGGGAGAAGGACAGCTGCCCAGACAGCCGCACGCTGGCCGGGAGCCCACCTTGCACCCCAGGCCGCGGAGCTGCAGCACAACTGCCCCTGCCCAAGCAAGGCACAGAGGAGACGAGTGAGATTCAGGGTGGGGACAGCCAGCCACTCACCATGCCACAAGGCAGGAGGTCACAGAGTAAGTGAAAAAGGATGCCAAGATCAGGAATAGAGGTCTGGAAGGGTCTGATAGGTTTCAAAGCAGCCCTCATAGAAAAAAAAAAGGCTTCAAGGAAAAAATACAAAGATGATTGAAGCAAAAGAAAGCACCAAGCCTCAGCAGAAATTAAATTACAGGAAAGAAATGGAGGATGTAAGAACCAAATGGGCATTTCAGAACTGAAGCACCGAGCTACAAAACAAGTCAGGGTCTTTCAGTGGACAACAGGCCACCACGAATGTGTGAGGTGCTCCACTCTGCCTCCAGGGCCCCAGAGAGGGACAGACGCCACAGCCCACTGTCACGAGCAGCTTCTCAGCCTTGTCTGGTTACCAGGAGTTCCCTTCCGGATATCTGCACTGGACCCCGGACCGCGACGTACGCGAACACCAAGCACGAACTCGATTGCCTTTTGAAATGCTGGTTTATTCGCACACCACACAAAGCAATACACGAGGTGACTGGCTCACACTGCACGATCTTACTCTCAGGCGATGAGAGTTGATTGTGAGCAAATACATGGAGTTTCCCTCGCGCTTATATACTCTATATGTTTACAACAAACTTGTTTATGTCTAACTTATCTAACATAAGCACACTACCTAGTTACATCATCAACTTATCTAACATGGGCATACTATCTAGTCATCCTATAACCAAAACATGTTTACAACTAAAAAGTCACTTAGTCACTGCAAAGTCCAAAACAAGTCCAAAACAAGTCCTTTTGCTGATTCATGTTGTTTATTCATCCTTGATGTTTACTCCTGTCACCCACCCACCTCAAAATTCCACAATGCGAAGTTTCTGGAAAAGCTTTTGGAAACCTCTGCCTGGGGAGGTAATTGCAACTTCCCCCTGGGCCAGAGGAGCAGGCATCAGCTGACGTGAAAATCACCGCCTCTTCCAACGCAGGCCAGACGCATCAGCATGCAATCAGAGCCTTCCAAACTGTTTTCACACTTCCCCAGCACTAATATTTCACCCACGTCTTGGTTTTCTTATCTTTGATTCTTGCAATAACACATTTAGCACTTGTGAGCCTACATTTCAGGCTGAAAGAGATGTTTGCATCCTGCTCTACGTTCCTGAATATTTTAACAGCTGCCTGCCCCCTTCCTGCCCTCCTGGAGAAACCCATCCTGCTCACCCAGCACTGATTTGAACACGAAATCTCTCCAATTAAGTGTTTATTGGTGTCTCAGTTTCTAAGTGACAAGTAATTCCATCTGCTGGTGCTCTGGCTTTTACAGTGCTGTCCACAGCTCCTTCCTCGGGCCGGATGGAGAGATTGCGACCAGCATTACTGTCTTCTGTCAGTTGCCACATGACTGGCCTCTGTCAGGATCATCCTGGAAAGCTGTGATGTGGGTGTTGAGCAATGCTTTACCATATTTCTGTGCCTCCCTCGTAAAGCCCACTCCACTCAGATGCTCAGCATTTATGTCAAGGAAATTTGTACAGCAGTGAATTTAAAAACCAATGTTGAGGTTTCGTTATTTCTCTTATTATGCATTTGTACCTTGCTTCTTAGAACTGAGTATAAGCCTTTTCTCAACAGGAATGTTCTTGAATTCTCTTTGAATTTTCAAAATGACTATAAATGTGTTACAGGCACACAGGAGATGATCAATGTCTTTATTGATTCTATTTGTCATGGAAATGAATTTCCTACTGGAAACAAGTTCCTAATAAAGTGCTATAATTCTTCAGTTTTACTACTGTGTCTCTTCCAGAATTCCCTGAGGACAGGTGATAACTTGATGCAATTATCTGGAAGAGAAATATATTTCTTTTCAGCAGTGAAACAATTCAGAATGAAGATGTACGCCAAGCTCCTAATGGAGCTTGCCACTGTTGGAGATTGAGCTGCAGGTAACGGCACACACACTTATGCAGGTGGGAAGTTTTCATAAGCAGTCTGTGCAGACTAAGGCATAAGGCCAGGTGAAGCCCCCTGGGTCCAAATAGCACATTTGCTCCAGATAAAGGTTACTGTAGAGGGGCAAGGTTCAGCACCAGAGTGATGGGGAGTGCTAAGTGTCCCTTCAACTTGTGAGCATCACCTAGCTGTTACAGGAATGTGGGGGGCTAGGAAGTGCAGCCCCTCCAGTCTGCCCAAGAGCCTGCGGTGATCATGGCCCAGGTGAGCAGGTGGAACAGAGGACCCATCCTGCTCCCTGCTCAGCTACCTCTGCCAGGGAAGATAGAGTGAGGGTGGATGCCCGATCACCTGCCACCCTAGGCAAGTGGGAAACGCCAAGCCTCAGGGAACAGTGACTCCTCTGGGTGGGGAGGAAGCCGCGAGGGGAGGCAAGAAGCGGCTTGGGTCTTCACAGAGACCATGGGGCCTGCGTTGGGTTTGGTGGGTGTCTACAGAGAAGATGAGATTCCAGACTCGAGGACTCAAGATATACGGATGGAGAGAGAGGTGGATTTTAGAGGCATGTTGTCCAAATGATTTCTTGGTTTTTGACTTAAACAATTACGTAAAAGGCTTCTTACTGAACTAAAATAAGCTCGGGGAAATGCCCTCACGAACTAGTGTACATGGGCAAACCCTCCTGGGACATACAGGTGATGAACTAGTGTACATATATGTGCAAACCCTCCTGGGACATACACAGCCACACAGGAGCAGCACC